AAAATTGGGAAGTTGAAGACTCATCTCTCCAGGGAGTTTGAAATGAAGGACCTAGGAAAGCTCAAGTATTTCCTAGGAATTGAAGTCGCTCACTCGAAGCTTGGAATTTTCCTCTCTCAGCAAAAATATATCCTGGATCTACTCAAAGAAACTGGCATGCTCGGATGCAGACCATCTGAAGTTCCCATTGACTACACTCATAAGTTGGGAGAAGCTGTTGAAAGTCCAGAAGTGGACAGAGGAAGGTACTAAAGATTGATTGGTAAACTTATCTATTTGTCACATACCAGGCCAGACATTGCTTATGCTGTAAGTATTCTAAGTCAGTTTATGCATGCTCCACAAGAAGCTCACCTGAAAGCTGCGTACAAGACTTTGCAGTACTTGAAGGGCACTCCAGGAAAAGGAATCTTATTCAAGAGAAATGGCAGACTCGATTTAGAAGCATACACAGATGCAGATTGGGCAGGATCAATCGTCGATGAAGGAAGCACAGCAAGTGGTTGGTGTAGAATAGCAGGAAATTTTGATTCAACGTTGCTACAAGCAATGCTGGAGCAGAGGATAGTGCAAGTTGTGCCAGGCTGGCATAATAAAATGAACAAATTGATGAACTGATTGATGTATTTCTCATAAACGGTACAGCCTATTTATAGATTACAAAACAATCTACCTAGGAGCTATTTATGGTAACACAATATTCAGCACTAATTACAAATAAAAGCCTAATATACAAGAATTTCCAACTTGCATTGACTCTGGAAATCAGGGAACAAATTCCCTTAAAACCAGAGTCAACGAATCCTCGAAGATTCGTCAACACCCTGTTAGGATCCTGGTTAAGTTTCACATTGCTAAGTATGGGCTTAGCATGTGGGTTTATAACCACTTGGGTACCCTCTCCTTACAAGTTAGCTTGTAAGGAGAGGGTACCCAAGTGGTTATAAACCCACATGCTAAGCCCATACTTAGCAATGTGAAACTTAACCAGGATCCTAACAGGGTGTTGACGAATCTTCGAGGATTCGTTGACTCTGGTTTTAAGGGAATTTGTTCCCTGATTTCCAGAGTCAATGCAAGTTGGAAATTCTTGTATATTAGGCTTTTATTTGTAATTAGTGCTGAATATTGTGTTACCATAAATAGCTCCTAGGTAGATTGTTTTGTAATCTATAAATAGGCTGTACCGTTTATGAGAAATACATCAATCAGTTCATCAATTTGTTCATTTTATTATGCCAGCCTGGCACAACTTGCACTATCCTCTGCTCCAGCATTGCTTGTAGCAACGTTGAATCAAAATTTCCTGCTATTCTACACCAACCACTTGCTGTGCTTCCTTCTAAGTGATACCTTTCACTCTTGCAACAAGTGAGGACCGCAATTCAACATGTTTTCTCCAAAATAAAATGAAATTCTTGAAAAGAAAGAAAACACTAGAACTGAAAATCAAACTTAAGAAAACAAGAAAACTGCAATTAAATGACTGTAAACACAAAAATAACGGAAATCACTCTCCAAACCTAACTATTCCAAGCCTGAAAGCCTTCAAGATAACTCTATTTCCTAGAGTTATCAGTACCTCCATCATAGCTCGCTTCAACCGTTGAAAGGCTTCCTCAGCCTCCGAATTCCAATGAAAAGCATCCTTTTTAAGTTGTTGCATGAGAGGGCAAGAAATGCAGCCATAGCCCTCCACGAACCGCCTATAATAGCCCGTGAGGCCCAAAAATCCCCGCAGCTCCTTAAGCGACATCGGCGTAGGCCAATCAACCATTGCCTGAATTTTATCCGGATCTGCCGAAACTCCATCCTTGGAGACAATGTGCCCCAAATATTCCAAACACTCTTGTGCAAAAACACACTTTTTTTGGTTAAGATACAAATGATTCTCTTCCAAAACCGAAAGAACCATGTCCAAGTGCACCCAATGCTCCTCCCAAGAAGTGTTGTACACCAAAATATCATTAAAGAAAACCAACACAACGTCTCGTAGAAAGGGCTTAAGAACTTCATTCATCAAGGATTGGAATGTAGCTGGGGCATTCGTAAGTCCAAAGGGCATAACAAGAAACTCATAATGACCTTGATGTGTACAAAAAGCTATCTTTGGAATATCTGCATCACACTTACGAATTTGATGATACCCGACTTCAAATCCAATTTAGTAAAAACGGTGGCCCCATACAACTCATCCAATAACTCCTCAATTACCGGAATAGAAAATTTATCCGGTACCGTTGCCTTATTAAGAGCTCGGTAATTCACACAAAATCGTCAGCTACCATCCTTTTTTTTTACAAGTAAAACCGGACTTGAAAAAGGACTCATGCTCGGCCGTATTATTCCGGCAGCCAACATTTCTCCCACCAAACGCTCAATTTCACCCTTTTGGAAGTGAGGATATTTATAAGGTCGAACACTAATAGGGGTTGTACCTTCATGTAGAATAATACGATGATCCTTCACCCTATGAGGAGGCAAACCGGCCGGCATGTTAAGGACAACATTATGCTTATGCAGCAGCGACTGAAGCGGCAGAATAGATTCGGGTTCCTTATCCACCCTCTCATCCATCCACATGGAACACAATTCCAAATAGATTCCATTGCCGTCATGGCGAATCGTGCGCATCATTGCCTTAAGAGAAACTGCCGATTTTGCAAGACTAACATCCCCTTGTAGAACAACTCCTTCCCCCCTTATTTTGAACTTCATTACTTGAGTCTTCCAATTAACATGCATACTACCCAAGGTTTCTAACCATTGCATGCCCAAAATTACATCGATTCTTCCCAATTCCAACGGTAAAAAAATTTCCACAATAGTCAATTTTTGCATTGTCACACAACCTCCTTACAAATTCCTTGTCCTTGCACTGATTCTCCCGTTCCAATTTGCACACCAGAACCAGTCGTAGGAGTAATCGGTAATGACAACTTGGAAACTAAAGCTAAGGAAATGAAATTGTGCTGCACCGGAATCGATTAGAACTATTACCTCACGATGGCCGATTTCCCCCTTGACTTTAATGTCTTCGGTGTAGTGAATCCCATGACTGAATTTAATGACAATTCAATCACCTCCAACTGCAAGATCTCTTCCGGCTCTGCCTTGGAGTCCTCTAAATCAAATGCATCCATGTCCCACTCATTCTCATCACTTGCTAACATGATCCTCAATTCTTTTTTCTTGCAACGGTGGCCTACCGTAAACTTCTCATCACAACGAAAACATAACATGATCCTTAATTCGAAACGGAAATTCTTTTTTTGATTTCTCAGGTTTCTCCATTCCATAACCAGGTGTGACCTCCCTATGCGATAGACACACCTATATCTCTTCGCAACAACATGTTTTTCTCTTCAATTCGATGTGTTGTGTCCATGATTTCAGTGAGCCCCGAAGGTTTAAGAAGCCGCAACTCCGCCCTAATTTCAGCCTTTAATCCATTGATAAATGTTAAAGTATTAAACTATTATTGGCCCATCTCTTAACAGCTTAAGTTTTTGGGATGGACTGGTAAACTAACATGGTATCAGAGCGGGAGGTCCTGAGTTCAAACCCCCGTAATTGCACTCTTTATCCCCATTTAAATTTTCATCATGTGTTGGGTCTTTAATATATCTCGGGCTTAAATATTCACGTGATGGGCTTTCCAATTAATTTACCCACACGATTGTTCATTGTCCAGCCCACACGTGAAGGGGAGTGTTAAAGTATTAAACTATTGTTGGCCCACCTCCTAACAGCTTAAGCTTTTGGGATGGACTGGTAAACTAACAATAAAGATACCTTCCAGAATTTCTTTTGGCACGTCGTGTAATGGGGTTACGGAGACTTCAAACCTTCGGCGATATTCAGTCACCGTGCTCACTTGCCGCAGAGCCAAGAACCTCTCACATAAATTCCCCTCTTGTGAGGAACGGAACCTCTGTAAAAGTGCCACCTTGAATTCCACCCAATTGACAAATGGCCGGCGCTTATTTTGCCACTGAAACCAAGAGAGAGCATCTTCTTCCAA